GGTGTAGATGATGATCTGTTACTGATACAAGACCGCCTAGATTCAACAGCAGTGATGCAGGTTAACAAGTGTGGATTTAATCTTTCTTAAGAATTCTGTTTTACAAGCATACGTGAATTTCCAGGACCACTTGGGGTGTTCATTCAGAGGAAAATTATATATTTTTATATTCTATATTTTGTAACTAACCCACTTATAAGATCAGTTTGTTAATGATGTGGTGAAAAACTTATACAACATTAGTATGTTTTTTAATCATACTATACCAGTGACATTTTGCATTAAGTCAGAGATTGCAAAAGTGTGATCCAGCTTCTAAACTGATTTATTAAAACATGTTTGAAATATTATAACAACATATCATTATCTGCAAACTGGTTGACCTGATCTTCATATTAACACCTACTGTATTATTTTATATCAATACTAAGTATCAGAATAAACTTATCACATGTGCAAGAAAGCTTTAAACAAAGGCTTTTAGATATGAATTGCAGGCTTTGATTAATTGGTCGTTTGTGAACTGACCACAATAAACTCCAGTGACGTTGACCTTGAGCTGCATAAGTACCAGATCACCTCGTTAGTGAGAGAGCTAACGAGAGCTGTGGAACAGGTGGTGAGGGGATTTCACCTGTTGAATGCTGAGCCTGTTGCAAGTCCGGCAAAAGAAAAGATTCATCAAGCGAACAAGCCATTAATTCCACCAGGGAGCTGGAGGCTGTGGTGCTAAAAAGCTCAGGTGCTCTCCCCAGCAGTGGAGACAATTCCCCTCTGTAGGGACGCATTGACCACCCTGTAAGTGCGGCACAGACTTGCCGAGAGAAATGCTAATTGTGGCAGACAAGAGACTGATTGTGATGGTCTGGGCTGGAGAGTCTTGCCTCTCCAGAGCTCCGCTTGCAGGGCCCGACGGTAACCCTGACCGCATGGCGCTGCACTGATCACGCCCTTGGACCTCAGACACGATCTGTCCTGCCAGCTCATCCTGACGAAACAACCCCGCGTTCTCATGCTGCCTGTGTAGTAACCATCAGAGCAGCTTTCTTGGGAGAATAGGAGACATTGTGGATGTGCTAATTGCCTGACTCGATTTCACAATGAACATGTGTGGGAAGAGCTGGGAATACCTAGGCATCCAGGGCTCAGAGACTAGTGTGCAGGCACACAGTATACGTCTCCTACAGCAGTAATGGAAATCACACAAGACTGCAACGTGGTGTAAAAGCATGTGTCACAGTTGTGTGGGTCCCATTGCTCCAGTGACCAGCCTGTGGCTTTTCCAGTCATATTCAGTCGACTTGTCTCACGTCTGTTCAGTACAGATTCCAGTGCACCTGCTGCAAAAAGTTAGTGCACCTGCTGGTTTTGTCATTTTCATGATAACCTTGCGTATCTGTTGCGATTTTAAGTCGCACTTGGTATATCGTAAACTGTAAATTGTAAGTGATAAGCCTCTGTGGATGCCTAGTGTACACCAACCTGCCAACTACAAGTTAAGTTATTTCTCAAGGTTTTTCATGGACTGAGTTTCACGGGTTTAACATTTACTGGAATCAACAGGAAATCCGCTGCTGCCTTCCGTGTGACTCCAGGCAGGTAATAATATGAAAAAAGAAGGAAAGAAAGGTAACAAACAAGAGGAAGACATTTGGACCAGTTAGATCATTAAGAATGATTATTGGAAGTGGGACATTAGTTGTGCTCTTGCACTAAACATTCTCCGTTTTTGTCGCCTGCTTCTTGGCCGTTTCCTTCAGGAATCTCTTGTAGTCGATCTGACCGCTCATGTTCTCGTCGAACTTAGCCAGGATGTGGTAGACCTCCTCCTCGTCCAGGACGAGGTTACAGAGCTTGAGGACCGACCGGAACTCTGCGAGGGAGAGGAAGCCACTGCCGCCGCTGTCCAGCTTCTTGAAGGCCCTGCGGAGGCTCCCGCTCTCGCCCTGGAGCTGCGGAGAAGCGCAGACACGCCGTTTTATCAGCAGCCCAGAAGCCAGCTGATGTTCCTGAGGCGCAGTGGAAGGAACCTCATGACTGGAGTGGCAAATTCCCTGAGACACGTCTGCAGGGACACAGGTCACGTCTATCCTTATTACACACAGGTCTGACATCAAACAACGACGCGTCCGATATCGCTAACACCACAATTACAGAACTGATCAAGAGCTGCCAGTGTGGATGCCAGATTGATATGGCTTTAACAGTATTCAGTCTGATTTCCTCGCACCTTGTTCCTGAGCCTGGAGGTCAGAGTACCCAGCCCCGTGGCCTTGTTCTCTGGTATCTCCGCCTCGTGTCTGGGTATGTGGTGCAAGACTGCCGCCATGTTGCTGGCACCATGTCTCTGCATCTGCCTTTGTAACGCAAACGGCTTCAGAAACTCCACGTAAGATACCCTGAAAGAAAAGGCAATGTGGTGATTTAGCAAGTGCAATTTATTTATCCTTTTCATCAGGAAAAAAATAACTCGCCAACACAGTATTTTTCCTGTTAAACATTTCAACCCCTGGGCCTCGCACAGACAGGAGGTGGCCTTACACCAGCTTTCTGTCTTGTAGGATAGAAGCAACGCTAGCAACACCACTGCCTCACAGCCCAGACCTGCCACAGCCCATTTTAAACAGGGGATTCAGGTGATGATTCTGGAGGATCCTGGATGTGATGCTCAACCCACCTTCCATCTCCATGGATTTCAAATTTCTTTTCCAGGATGTCGCACTCGTACTCATTGAGATGCGCACAGAGCTCGGTCAGGATGTCTTTAAATTCCTCCTTGCTCACAAATCCGGTTTGGTATGGATCCAGGTCCTCAAACTCCTTCTGGAGGTCGCCGAACAGGAATTCGACCTTGAAGGGAAATGAAACGATTCGTTTTCTCGGATACGTGTGCAGAAGCAGGGACGAGCAGGCCGTGAGAAAGGCTGTTTGAAGGGAGCGCATGTGGCCCTTGAACTGCGCTGCTGCCAGCACTCGAGATGAGCATCGCTTATCTCCGTGATCTGAAGTCCTGAAGCTGACTTCAGCTGAAGCTGAATAAAGTTGAAGAGCATTTGATATATTTATCAGCGTCGGATCGCAGATGAACAATATCGTTAGCTGCAGCCAACAGTAAAACATCAGTGGTGCAGTGAAGAAAGAGGAGTGACAAGCACTCCTCCAGGAAGAGCCGTCTGCTCTCTCGGGCACATGGACTCCGTCTGTGGGAGCGTCAGAGGAGCATGTTCTCCCATCCCCTCGACACCCAGGCAGTCCAGTCGGTTTGGGTAGGTAGGAATATAAAACTAACTGGCAATTACAGATAAAGCACTGGGAGAGTAAGCCAAGTGTTAGACAAGCTTTGATAATCCAAAATGCTTAGGACTGCAAAGTCTTTGGGAAATTCTCAGCCGTTTCTTCTCTAGTCGCTAACTTCTTCCATCTGGACTTTGCGATCTTGTCTTGCTCACCGTTTGCAATATACGACCACCTGAGAGATTGATTTTACAATCACACTACAGGTACTCTCTTGATATTGCTGTAAATGTGGCATTGGAGCTTAGCCTATGTGAGAAAAACACCCAATCTGCAGGTTGTTTAATGTTTTTATGTAATTCACAGAATGCGATGGCACATTTTCAATTACACTAATTCATATTTAATTTGGTTGTGCTAAAAAGTTCAGATAATCACAAAATATAAGCTGTCGTTCGAGTTCAGTTTAATTCCAGTTTGGACATGTTTTTTATTCAAGCAGTCTAATGCTACAAATTTCTCATAAAATCAAAATTAGTGGAGAAACCATGTTAAATGAAAATGTGTTGACGTAGTTTCGAGAGGATATATTTGAACAAAAGCAGCAATGAAGCAAGCAACGTACCAACATTTGCTGCATCCACCTTTACTTTAAAGCATTTTGTACATTTCCTAGCTGAGATAAGCAGATGTCATTATGTTCCCATTAACTGATATGACTTCAAAGGCTGTATTTACAGGAATGTTACTTTACTTTAGCAAGCGATCACTGCCTTGGTTGTTTTTGCACGAGCAGTGCAAGTCTCCCCAACCTGAGCAGTGTGCTACCTTGACGTCTGGGGTCTGGTACAGTAAATACAGAGGAGGACTGGAATGGGTCTTGATAAACAAAAGGCTTCAGTCCTCTGGGTTGTCACTCTGCCACATTTAACAAGCACTTAATTAATCACAAAAACCCCAAAGAGACCAGCAAACAAAAACCCGTGAAATGCGCAATTTTCTCTTTACTAGGACCCTTACCTTGGCGCGCACACTATCAACAAGTATGTCGGAGGCGCAGTTGAGCTTCTTGGAGCGGAGCCTGAAATTATCGTCCCCCTTCTTTGGGGGACTTATCTTGGCATTGGGAAAGCAGGCCGATTTGGGAGAGTAGCCAAAATGTCTCACAAACTCGAAGAAATCGAGTGTTTTGTCTTGGTTCGTAATCAAAGTTCCCCAAAGTTTTCGGATCTCCCCACGGCTGACCTCTGGGTTGATGTCAAATCTGCAAGATAAGAAGGAGCTCTTTAGAAAGTGGGTTAAACTCCTGACAGACGGACACCAGTGTCTCACAGTAAGCAGGGGACAGAGACTGTCTGCATCCTTCCCTTGAGAGTGACAATGCCAGAACTTGGCAGACAACCTGCAATATACTGTTTCCCATAAGAATGTAGAAGCAATCTAGACCATAGCAAAAGTAAGCCAATCACAATGGAGGAGAAGGGGGAGAGGAATATTTGGTGTGCTTTCAGCTAAAAAAAAATTATACCATTGATAAGCATGAAACACATCCACTTCCAGAAGCGGACACAATTATTTTAAAAGCAGACGCTCAATAAAACACAAAAATGCAAAGATTAGTATGTGATAAATTTGAACCGTGTTATTTGAAGGAGTTTCTCCTCAAAGGTGCATCAGGAATTTGTACAGGAGCGAGCCGTGATAGTATCGTTGAACACCAGGTTCTTAAGTATGCACAGTCAACTCCCATGTGAACATGAAGGTATATTTTTTATATGCCAGTTTAAAAAATCGGCAGATATTTTTTTGTTAATGATTAGCTCATTACAATTCCAAGGCTCGGTAAGACGAAACAAAACTGTAAATACTGTCCTCATATTAGGTGGTATGAAAATATTCACTGGACTGTTACTGTGGATTTTTCTAATGGATATCAAGTATCAAATTATGTGTGAAAACTAATCGTGCTTCAAAGGCTAATAGGCATGGATAGCCCTGATACACTGGGTAACCTCCATGCACTTGCTTGATTAAGCCTGTTAGTGTCACTAATCTTTTCGAAGGCTGTCCTGCAGGGGCTTACCTTCCTGAAGTTGGCACAGTCCTGATGTGCTCACCAGCCTGAAAACTAGTGCCACAGCTTTGATTATGCAAATCGCCAGAGATGTCCTATTCATCTCAAACTCTATTTAGGGCAGCGACCAGCATATTCCAGCCAGAAATGAATAGAGAGATAAAAGAAGAATAAAAAGGAAAGATTGGGGGTCAAAGAAAGACAGTAGCCCAGATGAATGAAAGGAGAGAAAAGTTTAGACTTATCATTGGTTTACAAATTTCTTGAAGAGCCCCCCCACCCACAAAGACACACACTTTCCCATTTAACACCGCTTTTTAAAAAATAACACCTTATTGTGCTGCCAACACACTTATTAAATGTCTACCGCAGTGTAACTGGGTAGCCAGTGATTGCACAGCGCAGGCACCGCCTGGGAAAACGTAAATAGCCGTGCAAATGTAAAAAAGCAGCGTGTTCTGAAGCTTAGTGGGAAGATTGGAGAAAAAAAAACACAGTAAATGCTTTGTTAATCATGAGAAAAAAAACAGCTTGTTAACTTGCATGGGTAAAGCACCATTCTCACGAAAAACAGAATGCTCTTTGGATCTGTTGTCCTGGAACAAAAACACATTTATAAGGTTCACACGTCTTAAAAAGGGCATCTTTCCTAACAAATTTTCCAAAGATTAGTCGGTTGTTTTTATGCATTTATAGAAATGAATATGTAAACGGATTACAATATTCTGTGTGTTTAACCTTTTTCCGCTTGCAGGTGTGCCAGCCTGTAAGGCTTGAAAGGTTCTGTGGGAATGTGATGGCGCTTTCTTCGACAGAGGAAAAGTCTTTGTGGTTGTCCTCTGTGGGAACGTGATGACGCTTTCTTCGACAGAGGAAAAGTCTTTGTGGTTGTCCTCTGGGGGGATGTAGCTCTGCCGTTGACTAAACCTCTTCCTTCAACTCTCTCGCGGACATTTAATAGTTCACGAGGAATGACAACGCCCCAAAATCGAAGCGTGGCGAACTATGGTGGAGCGAATATTTGGCTTAACCCGCTTGGCTGAGGGCCGACCTCCGGGCCGTAGGACGAGGAGGCCAGGACCCCCCCCGCGAGGTGACCAAGGGGCCGCTGCAGGTGGAGCTGGGGTGGAGGTGGGATGGTATTTATAGTGTTCGGTGGAGGAAGGCGAAGGGAGTGATCACTGATCGCTGACAGCTGGGAATGACTGAGCGTGGTTGTTGTCATCCCTCCCAAACTTTAGTTAAATAAACTCCATTTAGACTGTATCGCCTGGATCTGCTTTCACGAGGAGATCTTTGTCATTATAGTAAAGGCACAAGTAAAATTTTACAGGTGGTGTCTATTTAAAAATGACTTCCAAACCTTATCTGCAGTTTGCAAGCACTGCGGCAGATCTCGTGTCAGAGTCGCTCTGTCAGCTGAGTGGATGTACTGCAGCTCTGCTACAGTTCAGCAACATTGTACATTAAAAGACTATAAAAAGGGGCCAAAGTTGAGAGGAAGCCACTCAGCCCATTTACTTCACTGGGTTATGGATCGCTAACTGATCCAATGATCTTGTCCAGATCATCCTGTTTCTTGGGAGAATCCAAGGTATCAGCTCTGAAAGCACGACTGATCAGCCTGTTCCACACTCCCACCAATGTGACTATTACAACACTGCATGCTTTTAAAGGGTTATCGTATAAAAACTAGTGCTAATCCAGCTTCTTTACTAGCCTTCTCACAAAGTTCGCGGCGGGTTTGAGTGATTTAGAGTCTGTTTAGAGTACACAGTTAACAGAAAACTCTGGAAGAACGTTTCACATGACACGAGAGAGGGCTGTGTGCGTTTGTGTAACTTCTCATCCCCTTCATATGCTGCCTCATGCTGACAGGAGACCAGGAGATCGAGAGCCTCCCCCAGACAACGTACAGAAGCTGAAACCTGGAACCAGCCTGCAAAAAATGATGGCTTGAAAATAATATTTGATGTTCCAGCAGCACTAGTTTCAACAATGCTTTCCAAAGCAGAAACAGTCATTATCTGCACACCCACACATATACAGTATATATATATATAGATGTGTGTGTATAATGCACTGTGTGTTGCAGCACATGAACAGGGAAAGTGGCAGAAACTGTTTTTAGTGTGAAGGCAGTGTTACCGTTTCAAGAGCTGATACATGGTCTCTTGGGTCAGGCGTTTCGTATTTTTTTCATCCAGCTGCTCAAATGCTTTCTCCACTGTCTGGTACTGTTTATTCAGAAGCACTTTGATCATTCGGAAGAGCTGTAAGAAGAAGAGGCAGAAAGCCACAGGTCACACGTACAGTACACCTTCCCTCGCCCGGAGGAAACTACAAAGAACGAACTTCTCCACTCGCGCCCCGAGATACTGGACAGACTGTTGACACCCTACATTCTGACCGAGAATAAAAGATACAAGGTGACTTTCTGGGCGATTCCTGAACTTCACTGGTCAGTAAGTCAAAAGTGGCATTAATACAAACTATCCGCCTTCAATGGCTTCATTAAAGCACTGAAGCAGTACTGTCAGCATGCACCTGTAACACACACTAGATGACGTGGGCAGCCAAGAGACTGGCACAACCACCCAGTGAAAAGTAACAGTCTGTAAAGTGTGAAATGATACACAGTGAGCAAGGTCTCATAAGGCACTTTTACCACATTTTGATTTGTTTTCATTTATTTTGTAGGGGACATATGGAATGTGTCTTCAAAACGGGAAAAATATTAAAAGCTGAGATCAGTGGAAGACTATCAAAACACACACTATAACCATCTGTTCTACTTTCTGAAGGTTTAACAGTATCTAAAATGACCTTAGATGACTCACATACTGTATAATCGTAACTATAATTATTATTGAAAGCTTTCCAATAATGCACTAATTATTTTCAAAACGTTCTATTATTTAATAAAATATTACATCTACTTCACCCCATGTGTATTTTTATCTCTTATTTCCAAATGTTTACACATTTGAAAATCTATGTATACACAAAAATGATTTATAGCTGAAGTAACACACAGCTAGCCAGGCCAACAAAAGGCATGAGGCATGGTAGCACATTGAGAACCACTCAGAGAAAGCTGACATTCTTCCATGTCACATGGAGGGGGGGTGCTCAGATACGCTCTTTGTGCTGTTGGTTCAGGAGCAGGGGAATTGAATAAAAAGATGCAACACCTGGGCTCGGCAAATCAAGATTAGATGGTTTACAAAAACTGTAAGACCTCACAGTGCAGCAGTGAGAAAAGCCACAGACGATTCCTCAAGGCCCACCAGCGCGGAGCTCTTTACCTGCCCTGCGCTCCTGCCAGACTCCTGTCCCGCTTTTCCCTCCTGTAGACTTCGGAGCCCGCTCGCTTCCTTGGGGACGCCCTCCACGGACTCGCACGCGGCTTCCGAACTCGCTTCGAAGAGGCTCGGGGCTCCTTTGCTGCAAACACAAAGAGGAGCTCACTTTTTTTCTGTCCCGTTTCTTAACTGGGGTTCCCATCACCTGGTATTGTAAATTAAATACAATACAGCCGTTCTGAAACTATTATATCGATTCATGACGCTGTGTAATGTTGTGTCTTATTGTATGGGTCCGCAGTGTAACACAGTTGCTGCCCTCATGATGCCATTTTAAATATTCTGTTACTCTAACTTGTATTTAAGATAAAAATCTTTCAGCTCAGTCATGTTTTCACACCAGTAGTTGTACTTCAAATTCATACATCATCTTCATTTTATCATACCGTTTATGAAAAACGTACATGTTCTGGATATTCAGGAAGATAAAGTCATTTCTCAAGGACAAGGACAGATCAATAGTGTGTTTTTCACCTCCCTGTGTTGTTAAAATTCTACTTCTTCATTTAACAAAAAATATTTTTCTGTAAAAGCAATTTTATGACACCTAGAAACTCTATAATGTGCTACAGTCACATATTTAAGATTTGATGGCTTGAAATTGAATTACAAACAAAAAGCAAGGAAACTCTTTTAAGGGGGAACCTGGGAGTACTACAAGTGCACACCGAATGCGCACAGCCATTTGTGAACTCTGTTTGAGTAAGTCAAATCAAACCAGTTTCTAGAGTCCAGTACTGGTCAGACTTAAAAAAGGAGCAAAAACTCCTCTTGGGTTCACAAGATACACAGCTCACGGCTTCAGGCTAAACCTGAGATGTGCTGTTTGCTCTCCTGTCGCTTTCATAAAGACCATGCTTCACTGGTGAGCCACACGTTCACAGAAGCTGACGGCGAGGATAATGAAAAACACATAAATACTTGTGACGGCTTGGAAAAAAAAATGGAACCGGCAAAGAGCTCAAGCACCTGACAAACTTGACATCCCAGTCAACCTTATAATATCTAAATAAAACGTCCCAAACAAAAAGGTGTCCCTAATGTGTTCCTGGTGCGCTTGGGTAGACAGCGCTGCTGATCTTGGGGCTGCTATTAGCTGGAAACCTCCAGGCTTTTGTCCAGAGAAACAGCAGCCACTTTCCACTCCCTTTGGAACTGAGGGCCATGTGAGGCCTGAAGAGTGATGTGGGTTTTAAAGGTTGCCCCCTGGGTCATACAGAACCAATCAAGCGAAAACAATAAGAAAATTAGCCTGACAGCGGGCAAGCAGTTGAGAACTTTATCCAAACGAGACAGGAGCGGTCAAATTCACAGTCACCGGGGCAGGGATAAAACCTGCAAGGTGCTTTGGCAAGGAGCAGAAATAAATTGTTCATCGCCTGAGCCTTTCTCCATGCAAGCACCCGGCTCCTAGATGCCCGGCCTGTCCTCTCACAGGTGCTGCAGAGCTTGCAAACCAGCGTGCTTTCCAGGCCCGACCCGAAAGCGCTGCACTGTCAACTCTCTCGTTTGCATTTCTGCAAAGAGCTAAGAGAGCAACATGTGCATTCGATTAACGAGAGGCAGGGTCCCGGCGTTTAATATTCACCAGGGAGATCAGGGCGACGGCACAAAGTTTCAGAAAAAAAAAATTAGCAAATGAATGCTAAAGGAAACATGTGAATAATCCCTGATTAGTTCAAACAGAAAAGAAAGCCTTTTCGATACCCAGCAAATCAGGCTCGTGTTATTCTTCCCCTGAGAGCTCTGCTCTTTCTGTCTCCGCCACAGTATTCCAGAATCCTTGTATTTTCAATGTCTGCTATTACAGTAAGTGTGGGTGCCGCGCATTTGACAAACAGCACAACTCCTGGACGGCCATCAGTTCACAAGTGAACTGCTTTCAAAAAATTACAAGAGATTTTAGTAAGTCAATCTCAACACCGCCCACACAGCTAGTGCTTTCCGGACGGCGTTTTGGTATTCGTAAATATGGGCACTGAATGAGAATACAGGTTTCTGTTATTCACCACAGCTGACTAGTAGATTGAAATTCACTAAGCTGAGAAAGAAGCAGAGAAAAAGAGCTCTGCCATGTGTACTTTGGGAACGTCTCAGATAAACAGTGACAAGACAGAAAGAAGGTCAAGCGCTCAGCAGCCGGAAGACACAGACAGGGAGCTGGTGAGGGCGTGTTTTTGCAACAGTGATGAAAGAACGGGTGGAAAATCAGAGCCCATGTTTCTGCTGACCCAAGAGTGGACATCTCAGTGGGATCTCTGTGTCTGACATGGCCAGAGAAAACAACAGCACAGCAGGACTAGAGAGGGGCACAAGTCACTGAGGACAGCTGTACCACCGCTGTGCTGAGGATCACACCCCCAGACACGCGGCCCCTCTCTGACAATGTTTTTCAACATCTGATTTTCTCCTCCCCTAGAAAAACATTACAGAATCTGGACTCCTCTGGGTCTCTGATTCACGCTGTCAAAGTGGTTTTTTTTCTGTCACCGTTTTACGTTTTTAATCAAATTTTGCTTCTGATTTTGAGTCGATTTACTTCTCAAGCTCAAGATTGATAAAGTCTTTATCCACCTTAAGTCAATCCAAATCCACATTCATACAATGTGCCAGTAAGGCACAGTCAAGTACAGATTGAGGAAACGAGGCCTGGGACAGATGTTACCTGCTCTCTTGGGAAGAGTCAGGGATAAGTCGAACAAGAAAATTGACACACACAATTTTACGCCTTTTAAAAGTTGAAAACTAATATCTTATTTTACTTACAAATTAAAAATACATATGTTTTAATTAAAAATTGAAGCATGCACAGCTTAAGAAATAAAACCATTTCCATTTCAAAGCTGGAGTAAAAACTGAACTGAAGATCACAGATTTTTTAAAAACAATTTTGATATCGGCCTTTTTGTTTTAAGTTCAGCTACAGCAGATAGGGAGAAAACTGAATCTGAGTCCTTGAAATAAAAGTTTTGAATCACTGGATTATTTCTTTCAGTTGTATTATGCATGACAGTAATACAGTCCAGGAATATAGAGTATATATATATATAAGAATCAAGCATTTATTGCTTCTATTCTTTTCTGGGGGGTCAGAATTGGGTAGGAGAGAGTCTGTACTGTACTGTATTTCACCCTAATTTTCAGACAGAGCCCAACCACCCAGTTTAGTCTCTCAGAACTGCCTCTCCGGATTTCCAGATACAGGCAAAAAAAAAGGTAAGGAGTGGATTTAAAGACCGGCTTGCACTGAATTCTGGTCCGCTTATCTGCTGTATGAGCAGCTTGTAAAACACTTTGCTCTGGGAGACGATCTAGCTGGGATGGCTGGTCCCACACACTATGGGAAAGGGGACTTTAGGAGTAGATCTGAGTGGAATGGCAGTGCTGTTTGACAGCAGAGATTGTTGGATTTGGCCACTAAAAGAACGCTCTGGCGGAGCTCTTTTAAAGTCACATACTACACATGCGAGTCATGGCTCTAGCTGGGGGTCCTGTATTCACCAAAAGGAAGATATAATGTTAGACATGATGGAAACACATCAGGTTATTCAGTAGGTTTCAAAGTTCAATTATCTATGCTCTCGGGCATTAACAGAGTGTCAACAACCTGATACGAGCTTTTACTCATGACAAACTGCAGGCTTATGAAGAACTGTTAGGTTGCTCTCATATCTAACTGCAAAGTGTATATCGTAGTAAAGTGTCACCCTTATACTTCTGGTATCAGAAGAGTTGTTTTAAATAAATCAAAGGAATTAGAGGATAAATGCCAAAGCCATTTTTATACAATTATTTGGCATCACATTCTAAGAAACCTGTTTCCACCAAAAGCCTTCTCTTTTAATTGCGTTTTGTCACTTTTCTATCAGCAGCATGAGAACCCATTGCCAGACACAGAGATCGTACACCTCTTTCAAGTCAAGTTTTTACTCATCTTGATGCACGAGTTGTCATCTAACTCCAATGACGTGATTTTAACCCTGCATGGGCAGAACACTCCTTAACGCAAGTACCCCAGCTTTAGCAGGAAACCCCGCCTAAATACTTATTGACTTTTTTTTTTTTGCTGCAAGCTGTTGGCAGGTTGTTAAGGTTCAACCTTCACCTTGTGCTTGCAGAACCAGGCTTTTCTCTGGGGTGTTTCAATTTCTCTGAACCGTCTGTGGAATGAGCTGAACTGACAAGATGAGCTATCAGATATTTACCAAATACCAAATCGCTAGTGTAATGGTAATGCTAGAAATTCTACTCTTTAATCTCAGCCCAAAGGTGTTTGGTCAGATTGCAAGATTGTCAGATTGGGGAGCTGTCTCAGTGTGTGAAGGCTGCAGAGGATCAAGCAATTCCACGCTGAAATTCGGAAAGAAGAAACAACAATTTCTGCTGTCGATTCTTTGTCGGACAGATTTCGTGAAACTATTTCTGTTGAACTAGTTTGATGATAAATGATCCTCTGCTTTATGGTAGTTGTGGATGTTATGTATCTTTAGGGCACGTAATTAATTGATTATCCTTCAGAGGAACGTGATCTGTGTTCAATTAGGGCTACAAAAGAGATGCTTAACCCAGTGACCTTTGTTAAAAATCATAAGAGTCCATACAGACCAGACACCCAGAGAGATAACTTGTAAATGCTTCTGTTTTTTTTTCTCATGCATGGGACCGTGGTGGTGGTGGCGGGGGAATAAATAGATTCACATTTTTTACATTTAAAACTGTATTGTTCTTTTTTAATCTGGCCCACCATCTGAGCGGTGATCCGAATGTCAGAAAGGGATGAATGGGAGACATTGGCAAAGCCTGGAACTCGGGGATAAATGTGGAAATGTAGAATGGATGTCTCCTCTTTTTTTTCCCCACCCCTGGCTTTGAGATGACTGTTGTTTCTATCTGTGTTTCAGCACTGATCCGGAGGGACGGGGAAGTCAGTGTGGGCGGCTCTCAGAATCTTGCTCTTCTACAGCTGCAGCTCAGAGGATTAGGCTGCTTCATCCACAAGGCAACATTACACAAGTAGCCTTTGAACAAAAGTCATGGATACTATTAATGATATGGTAATCCTTAATCGAGCTACCTCCCAGTAGTGATTATACTGACATGGGAAGAATATCCCAGTCCTGGATGCAGCCCTCAACAACACTGCGCTATTGTTGTCCCCAGGTCTGACCAGCACTAACTTTTACTAGTATCTCCCTAACGTCACCTTTTTCCTCCTTTCCGGCTGCCACCCTGGGAATAAAAACTAAAGGACAAATGGAAGAACTCAGACTGAATTCTGACTGAATTGGGATTCCCCCTCGCATTTCCCACACAGAGCCCGGCGTCTCCGTCACCCAGGAGGAACGGACCCCATCGCCCGGCCGGTCGCTCCCACTCCGCCGCCTGACTCCGAGAGGACCACACAAACTCGGGCTCCGCTGCCGCGGCCGGCAGAAGACGATTTAATTGACGGCCGGGAGTTTCAGCACCCCCGTGGATGAGAACATGCCACCCTTTTTGTTTCTGCCCGCTCACAGAGCCCATATTGTGAAGAGATCGATTGAATAAAAAAAAGAACTTTATCGTCACTCTCAACGGCCCAGTTAGACTGTATTTTCTTTTCACAGTAGGAATATTTGGGTCTCTAAAATTATTTTTTCTGTCCACCCAAATGCTTAAAGAGCTCTTAGAAGGGTAATCTTGCTTTCTGCTCTTCTTATTTGGAAAACACCGCTTTTCACCACAGACAATGTGTCATTATATTGCTTCAGTTCCCTTGTTTCTATTCATCAGTACAATTTCTCATTGGTATAGCTACTGCTGAATCTACATAGCACCTTTTCCCAATACATTTATCTTGTAGGCTGAAACATTTTAGCTGGCATTTTCTCTGTCTAGTTTTACTGTGGTACACAGACTTTTGTTTTTTTTAATCTCTTTCTCCTTCTCCTTATCTCTTTTCATTAACTTATATATCAAGAGCTTCAGATATTGCCATATTTGTCTGCCCAGATAAGTTATTTAATATATGCAAAATTTTCCCCTATTCTAGAAGAGGAAAACGTCCTATAAGGCTTGTTAACTGACGTTTGTTCCAGTCTGAGTAACTATGACCCATTTTGTACGTCTTAAGCTTTAGAAATAGGTAACTTTTTTTTTTAGGAAAACGCAATAAACATCCTTGTTTTTTTAACTTGCTTCTATCATAAAACACACTAGGAAGAACCCCTACACCCAGGGTCTGTGGGTATGGAGCTACTGAGATTGTGACGTGCGTAATTAATACATTAAACCTTCATACCTTTCGGAAGAAGAGACAAGTGGGCACTTTGATTTGCAAAATGACAACTATGTTAACTACATTATTTTCTGCAGTCATTTTGTTTCAGGGTGTAAGAACTGTTACTGTTCTCCTTTCAGAGGGTCTTTGGAAGCCTAGCTTTCCTGCCTGTTGCTATTACAAAATCCCTATTCAGTGTAACTCTTGTCACCTGTCAGCTAAGCCCAGGCTAGCTGTATAGGTCTTTATCCCATACACACACACAGAGTTCTCCCTGTCCACACACACCCACTCAATCCAGCACCACATGTCTGGAATCTGCTGCTGAAGCACTTTAAAATTCATTACCCTGCGTCGTTTAAGAACCATTTGCAAGCCGTTTGTTTTGGTCACCATTCATTCAATAGTTAAGGGTTGTTCTGAGTTTGCATGTGTCTTTCTCGGTCAGCTCCCCCAAGCCATTTAGGCATGATACCCAATGAGGCTGTCAAGGTTAGACTCAGCTGCACTGCCGCTGTTGTTTTTAAAGTTAAAGACAGAAAACAAATGTTGAGTACATTTTTTATTCAATGTGTAATGGGTGTAAGCCTGGGGCTACGACTGTATTGCACGGTGACTCAGTGCCGATACTGCATGATGAGGGTATCCAGCTGTACTGCTTTTCTCTTTTTGTGTTCTCTCTGTCCTTCCTTTCTGGGTCAGGTCCACACCCCAGAATCGTGTGGATCGACGAGCACTTGGGCAAAGAAAGTGAAGATTTCTGCTTCTGCACCGATTATATTAAGATTAGTTGGATTAGGCAAGAGCACCTTAATAAAAAGGCAGCCCCAGAGCCACAAACTAAGTGGATAGCCTCTGCAGATCTGTCATGGGCACATGACAGGTCATGGCTCTGCTGGGTTAAGCCTAATTGAAGCCTAATTTAACCGCTGCTGCTAATGTTAAATGTTGTCTTGGTTGCCACTTCTGGGCTCGTGCAGTGCTCCTGATGTAGTGTCAGTCTGTTTTCACACTTGAGCTGCTCGATCTGGTTCTGTTTGTGTGTCTTAACTCCCACTTCTGTGCTCATATTGTAAACTGATATCACGATAAAGCAGGTTTTGAGCAGTATCCAGTACAGATCAACGTTAAAAAATTTAGGAACTGAAAAGAGAGGTTTAAAACTACTCTGTATTTTTTTTAAGTTTGGAATCAATTTTCTTGGGATGCAAGCTCTGGAGACTGTGATGGAAAAGCACATCCAGAACTATCCCCTCGGTAAGTTATATCTTACCGAGATGTTTAAAAATATCGGTGTCAGGGGTATGTAACTGTAGATGTGAGTAATGTTACACAGTGCTGCTGTTGTCAAGCTGCTGGGGAAAAGACTCCAGCTCCTGTCTGATAAAGAGGTTTCTCATTCTAGTGAAGTTACTGATACATTTATTCCCTAAATTCAAAAGGTGAGGTCATTTCTCCTTTCTAATCTGTGGTGTAGAAGGGCCGCTGGCGCCGACAGGGTGTTGAGCGTCACTGAGGTGTGTACTGCTGATCAGAGGAGGACAAAGGAGCGTCTTTCTACATATAAAGTGCTCTGCCTGTGGAACCACACTCTTTCTCACACCTACAAGCAAATGCAAGGATTTACTGCCCAGAGAAGGGCGAGCCCAGCCACAGCTGCTCCCTTGACCTTTCCAAGAGCGAGCTCAAAGGAATGTGGCCAGGAGGACAGCCTGAGGTTCGAGTTGGATTTCAGAGGGAGGTCGTGACAGGGAAAAGTCTGAGCTCCTAAGGAGGATAGACTCTTTTTCACACCCACACGCTTTCACAGGCTCGATGATCAGCGGGGTGAAAAGTTCATCACACTGATGGAAGAGAAGATTCTGAGCAGAACTGGACTACTGTATGTCGTAAGCCGAGAAGCGAATGGCAGGAGTCGTCCCCTTAAACAGCCAGAGGAAGATTCAAACACGGCCCGGGCCAAGCTACAAACTGAAACAAGAACTGGAAACAAGAAAGAAGGGGGGAGAAAGGCGAGCAGGGCTCTTTACCGGGAGTCGAAGGCGGCCATGAACTGGAGGTATTGGACATTCCCTTCTTCGTCGAGGGGCAGCCTGTCCAGCAGCTGCTCAAACTCGTCATCGTCGATCTCCATGCTGAACCTGCGGGGCAGAGGGAGGCAGCCACGCTAGCCAGGAGCTCGGCCGTTCCGCCTGGTCACTGCTGGGTCAACACGGACCACAATGCCCTCAGCATATGCCGGTCATTAACTCTTTGTCAGGGCCTCGCAGCTCAAGAGTGGATGCCCCACACATGAGTGTCAGAGGTTAATCAGGGCTTCCCCGGCCACAGCGTCTCGAAACGCACAGCGTCTAGCTCTCACTCAAAGGATTTACCCTGCGCCCTGCAGTCCAGGACCTCAGCCAAACCGCTGCCTCTCCGGTCTCAGCAAGAGTATTCTAGTTCTAAACTAAACTCTTAAAAATAAATACAAAAAACGAACGCGTGTCTTGCTATAAATTAATTTGTGCAATACAAACAAGTTCAAAAAGGATTTAGATTAATTACAATACACATGGCAGAAAATTAATTTCAAATTCCAATACTTATGTATGCAACGCTGCAGTCAGCTATAAATTATTAATGATCTTTTTAAAAATAATCCGAGTCAACAAAAAGATTGAAAAAGCGCCACCACAGATAATACCTGCTTTCAATCGCAGCTCTGAACTCCTGTTGGCTTATGATTCTCCTGTCAAATTTGTCAATTTTTCTGGAAAAGAGAAACAAAAGGCATATGAAGATGTAACACAATCATACGAATCGTTATAAAGCCTCAAAACTCAATGTATGTGACCAATTCCTCTCAAACTGTAACAGACAAGCGTCATAATCATGGGTTTATGTTTCAATATTATTCCCATCTACCGCAATGCTTCCCTCCACCAAGAAATTGGACGCCCCCTGCTGGTTTGGTATGATTATGCGGCAAGCTGTTCACCCAAGGCTACATGCTAACAGCAGGTAAACTGAAGGCCGGCGCTTGCACTGTGCTAGATCCTGATTGCTGGATGGCATAGTGTTTTTCTGTCTTGTTCTCGCCATGTGATCAGTCTTTGTCGGGAAGGGGAAAGATGCCTCTGAAGTCTGTGGAGGAGCACAGACACACACAGAAGACTTGCAAAAAGTAGTGACGTTGGACTGGTGGCTGCCAATTAAGAGAGGTCCACGCTAATCTCGGATAGCGATTACCACGACGTTTAACGCTGAGGAGGTCATTCTGGACAGTTTCAGTGGTGGACAGAATAGCAGGGCCACCTCTACACTCTACCGTAAGGTTTAGGTTTTTAACCCTGGCAGATCGCTGACTCGTCTCAAGTAAGGGCATATATCCTCTCCCGCTTCAACCAAGTCACTGCACAAGACAGATCACATCTGTTCAGAGGAGTTCGATTTCAAGCACAGACTTTACTGTAGGGAAGACACACACGGTGTTTTCTCTAGTATGATTGACGTCTGTCTGAACAAGTTAACACTTTTTGTCCTGTTTGCTGTTGAGCTACGGTAGCGAAGAACTTTGTGTGTTTTGAAGCATTGCTGTACCTGGACTTAGCCACAAACACTCCCTCCCATAACATCCTCTCAGTCTTTCTGCTCATCTTTGTGAGGAATTCAACTACAGTCTCTGCTGAAACCGGCCTCTCAGGCACAACAGTCAAGTCTGCATTTCTCGTGTGCTAATGACAGTCAACCTGACACTCAGCCAGTATTTGACTTTCACTTCATAAATATTCTTCTGCATGTAGTAAAAGATTCTTCCGAAACATCCCTCGCATTTTTCAGTGGCATGTTCTGACATCATTATTTTTGTGAAGGAATAGTTCAAAGTCCAGAGTCAATTATTCCTCCTTTTTGCATGGTTTGATACCAAAATACCTTCATCTTTTTTCATTCACCATTTCAACTTGTTTCTCTTAGGTTCCACCCTGAGTATATATGAACACCGTTTTACTACGGCACTAATATCAGCAGATTTGTGGTTACGAGACTTTCACCGATATGGCACTGTAACGGAGCAGCTGTCCCTCTGAGCTGTGTATTAGTTTTAGAGTGTATTAGTTTACACTGCAGTTGTGGGGCTCATAAACCTCTCTGGGATAAAATAAGTATAGTTGTTCGCATGAGACAGCGAGAGGAAGGTCAAGGATTTATAGATTATATACGGTTATCATATATACTGTATGAACAGAATATAGACCTGCCAACAGGCACCCTGTAACAAAACACGCTTATCTCCCAGAGCTCTCAGAAACAAAAGGGTTTAGTTTCATGTGCATCATAAGAAAAAAAGCTGGACAGCCATGAAGGTATATTACAGTCAGTTTTGCCATAACCGGTAATTAGATTACCAGTTTCAAAAATTAAAAAATATATATTTTATTGTCAACAGAACAACTTCAAATCTTCTTCAAACCTGTGCACCTGTACTACCTATCGTTCTAGTGAACATTCTGTGAAGAATTGTGACTCAGTTCTAAGTGCCTGCTGGGTTTGGCCATTTTAATTTGAGTATTTGAGAGTGTGCATCAGTATCAGTTGGGATTATTACTTCACACACAAGCCAGTTTGAGGGAGTGTGTTACTTACCGAAATGTGTCTAAAAGAGCTAGGAAATCAGACTGAAACAGGTGTGCAAGTTTCGCCTCTATCGCTGTGACTGTTGAGGCCAGGCTGATGTTTTCCTCTCGATTGAATCTGAAAAAGAACAGTGTGAAGTGTCAGAAAACAAATTTTCCAGAAATCTAATCTAATTATTATGATACGTTTGTACCACAGACACTGTATATGTTACAGTAAGAACACGAAACCGGGGATTTCAGAAATACTGTCATATTTACTCAGGGAACTCACCAAATCTCAATTCTTAGATATACATCTGAATATTTTTTTTTTAAATCTGAAATCCCATGTTAGATATTTTGGGATTTCATAAAATCCAAGGCAATATTTATTGGAAGCGTCGTTTGTGTCGTAAACTTAACAAAGTTGTGTTCTATATTTAAAGTCACGCTGGATATGGGTGTCTGCTAGGCATACAAAAATCAAACACATTAAAATCCCAGGTTTCATGTTTTGTTCTGTAAAATAGGTGCTGATACATCCAGGGATGGTAGAGCACAGCTGAAATTGTGGTGTTCAGCAACACAAACAGTCAGAAATGAAATAGCCTTAGCATCACACAGGAGGGTGAACGAAAGAGCTGTCCTGGTGTTTCTGTCATGATTCAGCACTTGCAGTTCTGTCCCCAGTATTGATCAGATTGGTGATCCCTGGGCTACATTATTTCTGATTAAAGGCTGCAAGCAGCTATATAGTCAGGAAAAACACATCGTGTTGAGGCCGGTAATGCTGATTTCACATGGTGTTAGTGGAGCATTTCCGATGGCTACCCACACTCAGAGAGACACACACAGACATTTATCTGCTCATTTTTCTGTATTTTCAGTCCTCTGATCTGCAGTCCCATTAGTGTGAGAATTGTCTCGAGAGGAAGGAGCCGTTTTCTTTCGGCCCCTTCAGTGGAGAGTACAGAGGTGAGTATCTGCTGCTGAGCTGCACACTAGCACATAACCACCCCGAAGACTTAACTTCCGAAACATTTGCAGCTGCTCCAGTGTAAACTGCACACACTCCACCTTGATCATGTCTGTTGCAGGTTTTCATTACCAAAATGAACACGTTCTGTAACATTTGGCAAGACTTCAACTTTTGCACTAATTTGGTCTGGCATCTGGGTCTGCATCTTAAGCGGTCTTCCTGTTGCCATTTGTAAAACAGCCAAGAGATCACCAAGGACCTCTTTGGGTTCTGGGGTTAAACAGGGCAATTGTCCTGCAAGCTGTGTACACAGCCAGGCCTTGTGTTAGACCCCCTGCCCCCTGGGACTCACTGTACTGTATAGTGTTTTCTCAGCCTCTTCGGGGTGATTAGCACTACTTAAGCTGCTGGCCGGCACAGGGTACCCACTCACTTTACACGACTGTCACAAATGAAAACATGCGCCCGGGACAGGAAGCCCAAAGAGTCTGCAACAGTCTCTCTTTCCCAACAGATGCAGGCTGTAAATGGTGAAATCTGTACTTTCACAACACCACTTTATTGTTTCTCCAAGGACGGATAAACATTTGTGTATTAGCATTGTTATATATTGTTTGCGTTCCCTGTCCACAAAAGTTATAAAGCCTGTGGCATCTGCTTCCAAAAATATACTGTATTATTCTAAACACCAAGAGCAGGCCTTTCACACAGTAAGGGTTGGTTTAGGAGGGATGAGTAAATATTGCACAGTATTAGATTCTTGATAGTTTTTTTCAATTAAATTGCAAAATGAGGAGGTATTATTTCGCTTGAAATATAGGAATAAAGCAGGTTGTTGTTCGAAGTGTTAGGTCTGGAGCTCTGAGATCCCTCTGAGGCGGATGCAGAGATACTAACTTGTGCTGTGGGTTGGACAGCAGTTTGTGGGTGACTCCTTCCTCACTGCGGTCCTGAAATCTCCCGAGGAATTTGATGTAGTCAATCCCAGCCTTGCTGCCTTCCAGACCACATCGAGCCAGGAAAAGACTCAGGTGCTCTTTCTTCAAGTGCAAGTCGAATTTCGCCAAAACACGCAGAAACTCGTCCAGTGGAACCTTTATGAGGGAAAAAGACATGAGAAAATCACATTAACATTTAGAATAAAACCGTTTTTTTTCTCAGAGTCAAATGCACACAGTGTAAAGGAGAAACACTTTTTTTTTTAACTGAATCCATGGACGTTTGGGTTTGGAATGAATACAAGCAGTTGATTTGTCCGCTCACTCTAATTTTCACTCCACCGGTTGACGAGACGCTCTGATCCGTTGACTAATAATCTAGATCAGGAACGAGCCGCTCCAGTGTCTGATGTGTCTGATTCACTGTGCCCTCCAGCTTTCAGTCCACCTCGTACAGTAAGTTGACTGATTGAAGATGAGACTGGAGACGAGTAATAGGGTCACGTGACGGAAGACGATCTCAGAAGGGAATGGCAACCCAGTCCTGCTGATGTTCACTTCCCGTCTGCTTCCAAGTGGACACATGCTGCCTGTCCTCTTCCCCCGCCTCACCACCCCAGGAAGGACCAAAGCCCGAGTGCCGTCTCCTCCCCCCGCCGGCATGCTCGTACCTTGTTCTCCTTTCCGGGGCTGCATCTTTCAAATTCGCTCTTCATCCTCTGGAAGCCTTCTCTGAACTTGTCCTTCAGCCACTGCTCTATGGTGATGGAGGCTTTGCGCTCCTCCTCTGCCTTGGACAGCATCCTGGACTGCTCTGAACACACACACACACACAAGACAGGGTCAGGGGACTCATAGGTGGAGGAGCGTCTCTTCCGTTCTTCTGAGGCGCTGTGCTACACCTTTAGACTGTCAAGCATTACTTTCAGCCAATGCTAGAGAAACAGTCATACTGTAGCTTTGGCGACACCTGGCTTTTTAACCTGTTTTTTTATTTCTAGATATTAATGTGTATTAAACTGATAAAAGTAACCTAAAACTTAACGATTAGACCTAGGGTTCATCTTCAGGTTCATTTGATTACGTTAGCGTCAGAAAGCCTTGTAGGGATAAACAGAAACCTTGAGGTTCACACAAGCTGTTGTACAATAGCGCCCTCTGTGGGGGGCTACGGTAATTACAGTTTTACATGATTTCTGCAAGACGTGAACGGACCCACACTTCATATTGGCAGAGAGAATGGTTGCTTCTTGTCCAAAAAGTAAAGCACCAGAAATTTTGTTTTAAGGCCAGGGCAGAGCAGATGTAAAATAAGGCAAGGTACTCTTTTACGAATCCCTTAGGTATCCAGTTCAGGCAAGAGCATCCAGAGTCTCACCAGCAGTGCAGAACTGCAGATCATTGTTATTATGACACATTCCTGAGTCCCTACAATGTAAGGCACGGGTTCCCAAATCCCTCAGGTTTTGTGTGTCTCCTGAAGGTCTTAACAGGAAGACTTTAAAAGGGGGGTTTTAACCTTCTCCACAGCTTTAAGAGGTTGATCATCTAAGAAGACGTACTGTAGAAAACCTAGACTGGGAGTGCCCAGCGTAGGAGATACTGTAGGTACAAGCCAGTTTGCTCAAATGCCTGTGAGAAATTAAAGAACTGTCAAACAAAAAAAAAACTGTCACAGCGCACCAAAATAACAACTTATTTTTACGCCTAATCACCGTTTCCAACAATTTTAATCGGACACTTACTCTGTGAGTCTTCCATGCTCACAGAGTCTGCTGACTGTCGGCCCACATTTTCCAAGGGATCCTTTCCAAAATCGATCCCAAGCCTCTTGAGTAGAGCACCTACTCTGATGGCCCCAGTTCCGTCCTGGTCATATCTGCTGGAACAAAAGCCCAGAGCTCTACCTTATCAAGACCACGGCGTCGTGTAGTGTAGCTTATCAAGAGCTCAGTAAGAAGCCAGTTAGTAAGAAGAGCACAGCCTCACGGTGCCAAGAAACATATCGAGAGTTCAATGACACGTGTGACGTGTGACGCAACATCCATTTGAAAGTTTGAAATCACTATTACTTGTCACCGAGATAACAGAATGAAATTATCCAGTTTCTTTTCTAGTAAGATCTGCAATACCCATGACTGTGACTGGCCAGTAGGGCTGTAGAGGGGTTAACTAATGTTAAAAATAGGATAACAGAATCGAATTTTGTTCTTATACTGTGTCTCCCACTGAGCCTGGTTATGAATAAGGTTCTGTAGTTCATGCATTATTAGGCCTTTAATGATCAGAGGTCTTCACCCTGGGGTTTGTCGGACTACTTTCTCTAGCTTTTGATCAAAGGGGCATATTTCTGCAATCCTGTATTTGAGTACTTGGTATCGAACCTCTTCCAGAGCTTTTCGAACTCCTCGTCCTCCATGTGCAACCCCATCTCCTCCAGCAAGTGTCTCAGTTTTGGGGCCACAATCCTGCCGGGCCCGTCTGGGCTCTTCAGAACCAGCTGTTCGGCCATATCTGCAAACCTGAGGAGGGCACATGCAAAATAATAATAGTGACAATAATAATTATAATAATAATAGACTACCAACTACTAGTAATCTATATTTGATTCACGTTCCTAATATTATAAAATACATGTTTAAAATGTACAGGAAGATAAACCCGTCTTGCTGTCATACCTGACAGTGGCAGTGAAAACAGACATTTGTGCAGTTATCTGACTCGGTTGCCCCACGAAGCACAGCCCCCCACCCCAGCCCCCTGCTGTTAAAAGCGTCCAAAGTGAGGACCTGGCAGTTCAAAAGATAACGGCTCTCACGGCTTGGGGGACCTGCTGCTTCAAGAGTCTTAAAAACAGCAGACCTCAAAGCCTCGGATCTACCAAAAAAATCTTTGGGGATAATGAGATTAGATCAGAAACTGAAATCACTGGTTTCAGGCAGCCCGCTCGGCTCTGCTCTCTTTGACTCCGTTACTGCGCTTGTCCGGGTCTTCCCGATTAGTCACGGGGATTTCGTACGGGCTGCTGTGACTGAACGTGGGGAGCTAAGGCCACTCTCTCCCCTGCGGTCGCAGCCTCGTCCGCCGCGGAGCCGGCCGTGTACAGCAGCAGTTATTTTCTTTTGATTTTAACGTACAGTTGGCCCTTTGTCTGCTTTTAGTGACTCAAAAATGGCTCCACAATGAGATGCTAATTCCTCGATTCCACTTTTTTTTCCCCCCCAAATAGGAAACCTACTGCAGGTAGTTTCCATTACTGATGTGAGGTCGTCAGTAAGATGGTGTTTAACTGGCTTGGACTGAAACAAATAAAACAATGATTTAGGCACGGCGGCGATGGGTTATTTCTAGCGAACTGCTGTGCGATTTCCAAGGTTTCGCTATCTGTTGCTATGGAGAAAAAATCACCCAGGGAATGAAACCCCCGATTTCAACAGATACACACAGAACCTGTGTGTGGGGCTGCGGCTAAAAGCGAAAAGAGACTAGGCCTGTCTCGGGGAGGGGTCTCCACTCGAAAGCTGAGGGAGTCTTAACGCCAGGCGGCTGTCTCTGACGGCGCCAGCGTCTCTGTGACTCAGACCCCCCGGGTACCTCTGTCCGGCCTTGCCCCGGAGCTGGGCCTGGACCTGGGCGGCGGTCAGCGGGCCTCCGTCGCCGGGACGGCGCAGCGGGCCGAGCCAGGCGGGCGCCCCGTCGGCGGCCGGCTCTCGGACCGCCCCGAGCAGCTCCTCGAACCGCACGATGGCCTTCTGGGACAGCTGCAGCCTGCGGGGACCCGAGCCGACACAAGAGCAGCAGGGATCAGAGGCGGCCAGGCTGACACATCACATGAGGGTAACCGGTAACAGGTGACACAGGCAAACCCCTGCCCAGCGTCTTGTTTATTTGGAGCTGTGATTGTATTTATTTAAAGCTCCTGACTCGTTTTTTAATCTTATGCGGGCCAGATTTTTTATCTGGTTATGGTTTCCTGTTGTGCTAGATTGTTATGTTTTGTGAATACATGTCTTTTCAGCTGTTCTGCCCGCACAGAAAATGTCCTGTGTGGGACAGTCCGGGAAGTAAGTAAAAAGCTTATTTCACATAAGAGTTGAATTACTGTTGGGAAGGCGGGGCCTTGGTTAGCCTTGAACTTGCGTGACCCGAGGGACGACAGCCTGGCCGTGTGGACGAGGCCGTTGGGCGGCCCTACAGAGCCCACTGAATGGTCAAGCAGGGAACTCTGGGCAGGAAAGTCTGTTGTCCTTATTTAGACCTCAGTGATCAGCTGATCTTATGGAACTGGGATTTGCCTTCATTTTCTCACCATTATTTTTCCTTTTCTATTTTTTGCACCTTGCTAAAATGACATGGATGGGTCTTCCACTGTCCTACATGTACCAGAGTGGGCAATGTTTATTATGTTCTTGAACTGGCGATGTGAGCTGCCTTATCAAATTACTGGGCAGATACCTTTGGTTACATTACATTCAGGCAAATATCAGCTGGAGCTACAGAAGCTTGCCAGTACTAGTCTATCTTCTTTAACTGACTTTATTTTCTTCTTCTTCGCGATTGTGTACGTCATTATAAATGCTTGACTCCACACATCTACCCGAAAGAGTGCTTATAGTGAAAGAACACTGACCTTAACAGCAGCTGTTGGTACTGTTTTGTGCTTATGAATCTTCCCAGAAACTTGGTGATTATCATGAGCAGGACATCCCTGCAAAGACAACAGGGTGATCTTAAAAAGATAACTTTAAGAAATAGGTAAACAATGTGTAGGTCAACTTAAATTATAAAATCCTTGAATAAGATTAAGTTTTACTGATCTCAGGTTTCTTTAACGTAAATGTTTCAGGTTTAAGTATTAACATTTTTTTCTTCAATGCCCATCCAGGGACTCATGTCTTCTGGTTTAGTGTTTTCTAAGATGGAATCAATAATTGCCTTTCAAATTACATAAATGAACAAACATGATGCAATGTTGAATCCACATCAGACTGCTGTCTTCAGATCTGTCGGTGTGTTATATCCTCTCTCCTGTCTGCTCACTCGTACTTGTTCTACTGCACCTGCTCACCTGTACCTGTTTCCCCCTACCTCTTCACCTGTACCTGCTCACCTGTACCTGTTCCCCCCT